GCTATCAATTTGAATATTTTCGTTTTAAAAAGCGTTTAAAATGGTGTTTTCTCAAGAACAAATAGATATAGAGTCCTACTTTAGAAATGGACGCAAGATTGATGGAATATGGAAGTATTGTATTGAGGAATGTTTCATAGAATTTCAAAATCAATTTCCCGGCGTTGTTTTCAAAGTGCAGTTCAGCGTTGTGTTAATGTTTTTCGTGAAACGGGCAGTGTAACAAGAAAAGAAGGAAGCGGCCGACCTAAAAAGCGGACTGAAGAATTAAAAGAAAACGAAATTACAAACTTTTACTTTCAACAAGATGGCGCAAGGGCACATACGGCAGGCGAGACGATGAATAATAGGGAAGTTTTCCAAAATCGACTAATAAGTCTCAATGCTGAACATGAATTTCCACCAAGGTCATGTGATATTACGCCGTGTGATTTCTTTTTGTAGCCTTAAAAACACTATTTTTGAACTGCCTATTCCTGATTTAAACCATCTGCAGGCTCGACTTATAGACAAGATTCGTGAAATTAACAATACCCGAGCATCTTAGAAAATGTCTTTAATTCTTTGAGGAACAGGTGTGAAAAGTGCTTGGAACAAGTAGGGGGACACTTTCAGCAGCTGCTTTAATTTATTGTTATAACAAGGAGGGGGACACTTTCCGCAGCTCCTTTAATTGTTTGTTATTGTTATCACGATTATTCTTTAAAATAAAGTTATATAGTCATTAACGTTATTGAAACTGACAGCTGCTATACAGCTCGTTGAGAAATGAGGTTAAGTTGGTCGCTATAAGCTACTCCCTACGTCCAATGTGTCAGAGCCAACTTCAACCACGTTTTTATTTGAACGCTCGTTACTTGTCATTACCCAATACGAACGTCAAACGTATAACTTTTGTGCTTACAAAATGTTTTCAGAAAAAGTTGATTTTATTGATTGATTATTATTTATCAAAAAATCGGACAATGGCTTTAACTCTCTATCCTTAAGGTGTTTCATTTATCTTCACCATATTTAAATCTTATTCTAAAAATATTGGTCTCTAGACTCTTACTCTTACTTGTTTAATTGCAATAAATGGAAGTTTTTCCGAGTAAATCAACTTCAATTTATTTTGTATCTCAGAAACGAGATGAAATATGACATTTAATACATCTCTTAAAGTGGAATTGGAAAACACATTCTACAATAATTTAAATTATCGAGGAAATATCCTGTAACTTCACTTTTGGAGTAACCATATAATTCAGTTCAGTGAATCTAATTTAATTCTTGTTACACTTATCGATAACAGGAACTTATTCGTGAGACACTTAGGTCCCATATCGAATTTCAACGTGAAATATGAGTGCTTATATACAGTTGTGTGCACAAAAACAGATCGTTTTGCAACCTTAGCGAATGCCATTATAGCGATATACCCGGAACAGTAGAAGTGTTGCAGGTTCAATTTGCAAAATCCCTACCGACTAATTAAATTAAGCTCCGTACTAGTAATTTCCGAACTGGAATTTTGTGGAGTACACGAATGCAGCGTAACGTGCAACTAACAATTCACACGGTGACGTCTCTAGTAATTATAAAGTTGATACGTGTTTTGTTTAACTTTCATAATTACACTTTCCATTTAAATTAAATTCGTGAACTGGAACGGCTCCACACAAAGCCATATATTTTTTGAATGAACTCCTAGGTTCGTGCTACATTTTTCTACCTAATTGCCTATATTTTATCTAAAAGGCGGCTATAGGAAACGTCTACAGGGCGCACTAATATTGGAACCCTGGAGGAGCGCCTTGACACATATAGAATGGTGTCAAGGGTAAACAAATACTACAACCTTGGCATTACGGACAACTGAAAACATATTTAAGTCACTGAAGAAGGCCCATGACATAATACGTGTCACACAAATACGTGTCACACAAATTAATGTGTCACACAAATTAAAAACGCGTCACACAAATTAAACGTATCACACAAACTACGTGTCACAGAAATTAAAAACGTAGTAGAAAGACGAAACACGATGACAAACACGCTGGAGATTTTAGGAACAAGATCAAGGAAATCCAATTATGTCTACACTTTGAATACATTTTTTTAACCGGAAAAAAACGTTTCAACAGCTAGTTTTTCTGTTTTTTTTTTAAAGGTATGGTCTCTACGTGACAGCTACACGGTATTTTTTTAATGTGCAACGTTTCAAGGAGTATGTAATTAAATGACTATAACTGGGACATAAACGAATTGGGAACTTTACCATGAATAACAGTTTTCTCTAATTTATAAAAGAAAAAATTTACCACTCTTGTTTAGAAAGTTCAAACAAAGGCGTATTTAGTTTTGAGCGAAACTTCTAATTAATGTTCTAAACTAGTAATTATTTACTCGGATGTGTACAGTGTGGGTGGAATGTATCGGTTTCTCCAAAGAAATAGTTTATGAGTAGGCGTAATCTCAAATGTTGTACCTGTATTAAACTAACATTAAGTTCATCCGCATGACAGAACTGGACTCTTATGAAGTATCTACTACACAAAATTAAAAACCTACTCTTATTGTTCTTAAACAAATGAACTGTTTTTACTTATTTAATTGGAGATTTAAGATCATATCACACAGATCACATTATCAAAAACTTCACATTATCACAAGGCGATGTTTCGTATTGTATTAGTTATGTCTTGTCCAAATTTGGTTGGTGCATCTCTCTGGGTTTCGAAAATTCAATGTCTTTGTATGTTTTCAGCCACGAAAATTGAATAATTCCAAATATTTCGAATTTTCTCCACCAAGAGCGACTGTGACAACATTTTCAACAGCAAGGCGATGTGTTAAACTAAAATGTCATTGGTTTTTGTATTTCTTCTTGTTACACAAATCAGAGAAGTATGTTAAGAAATAGGAGGAGTAATAAGAGGGAAGAGTAATGTAACAAAAATTATGCGATGATAGAGTTTAAAATATTTTAAAGCTTTTAAAGCTAAATTTGAATAGAATTGTTTAAATCCGAACACAAAAAAATAAATTTAACCAGTGCATTTGTTACAAATGATATTGGGCCGGTGCCGGTTGTAACAGGTCAAATTTCAATTGTAACAGACTGCAAATAACAGGAAAAAGTATCTAATAGTGCGTTATTTAAAATAATGTCTTTATTAAAAAGCACCACTGACACTATATAAGTAATATACATACATATATCAGGAGTAAATAAATAACCATTACAATAAACAGGATATACGTTTATGTACTATCAACATAAATTACATAATCCAAAATTGAAATAAAAACAAATATTTTAATTTTAAATTTGGAAATATTATAAAATACATCTATCAAAATAAATGCAAACATTACCGTATACCACTATTTTGAAAATGGTAGGAAATAAAACTGTTTCGTTACAACACCAATTGTAATATGTTACAATCGGCACCATCAGCTGCCATATTAAGTCTAAAACTAACTAATTTGTCAAAAAAAAAAAAAAGCAAATTTTTTTTCTGCTATAATTTTTTTAACTTTTTCCACAATTCCGTTTTTTTAACTTAAACAAACATCGCCGTTGCCCATTTATATAGACCAATGCAATTAATACCCTTGTTCCAGTGCTGATTCCACATTTGACTAATTTGAAACACACGAATATTTGAACGGGGCGGTTTCGTGGGATAATCAAATTACAATATTAATTGCTGCTAACTCCATTCGGGTTTCAAGTGAACTGGGCATACCCAGAATTAAAAAACACCGCCGACGCATAAATGTATTATTTCACATGAACTTTTTCACATAAAACATATGTTTTATTAACACAAAGGGACCCCAGTTCACTGTAAATAATATATAATACTGCATTACGTGAGTATGTTTCGGTGGTTTTCTTTTAATAATTTCGGAACACATGAGGAGTTATCAGAAATAGAGACGGTATGTAAATGAAACGAATTTCGTTCACCCATCCATTAAATTCGTGTTGGATTTTATTCTTTTCCTTTACAGTTTTATGAACTTGATATTCATTGCTTGCCCCAGTTATTGTTTCTGTATTGTATTGTATGAATATGCATGCGAAGCTTTATCATCACATCACACATAGAGACTTAAATGTTAATACAATATTACTTTTGATAAAATTAATAGTTATTTATTGTATAAGTGTTTTAAGTAGCATTTTCTCCACGCAAGAATGTTTAAACGCTAGATCGTATTTCGAGCGTTTAATGTTTATAAGTGGATAAAACGCAATTAAAACACGAATGCAACTGATTATTCCTGACAGCATACGTAAATAATGTTAAAGAATTATTTTGATTTTCAAGTACCAACTCAGCACAAGTAATTTTTATGGATAAATAAAGCGTTATTATGACGACATATGCTCTTGTTTATATATTTATAGGGATGAAAATATTAAATGGTGATACTGTTGAAAAATCGCGGTTACCCCTTATTCATATAACAAAGGTGGCACTGAATTTTTGGTAGTGTCGTCAGGTAAGCCATTTTTGACACTTAAAACTAATATAAACACTATCGCAAAAATGTTAATACTAAAATCGGTTTTCGGTATTCGAAATTTTACAAAAAAATTTTTTACGGTATAGTCTCCATTTTTTATGGTGCATCTATTTCCAAATTTTCCTGGATAAGTTGTGAATCACCCTGTATATATAAACGGAAGGTAACAATAATGAACAATCTTCCAAAGAACATAGTATTTAAACAGCAATTATTTCATTTGTGTCTATCCTACAGTAATAATACTTATTAAGGAAAAGAATAATGAACTGTTTAATATTCACATTATCTTTATAAAAAAAACTGTCATATAACCCAAATTAACTCCGCCGGGCGAAAGGAACTGAAGGCAGAAGATTTAATTTAATTTGAATAATTTAATAAAGGACGTCATCGGAGCGCATAAAACTGCCATTGTAATTTAATTTAAACTTACAGGCGGAATAGATCTTAATTATTATTTTTGTTAACAGGAGGCGCAGCTTATCAGCCAGAGTTTGCAGAGCCCATCTCTAATCTGTCCATTCCCTTAGGGCGCGACGCCACTTTCCGATGCCTTGTTCACCATCTCGGAGGCTACAGGGTAAGTTCTAATTCTTGGCATTAAATTAAGGTGCGCCCCACGGACTTATTATATCATTAGAGGCGGTTTGTCATTTATTTGTTTGGCGTAAATACCAAACTTTTATTTGTAAACAAATGTCTGTTTTTTATTAGTCGGTTCAATTTCGGAGTATCCATAGACCTTATTATTAATATTCTTAATATTCCTCTGCCTCAGATAACATTTTCTAGAATAAATGAAATGATGAACCCAAAAAATTTTACTGAATTGAATTTTAATATTATTTTAATTTTTGAAACTATTTGCAAGATATCGAACTTTGAACGTAACTCTTTATTACTTTTAAATTTATGAAAGGAAAAGGGCCCCAAATTATGGATATTTATTTTGAAAATAACAAAAGGTGGAAGATGGATATGATTTAATTTTATTAGTTTTTTTTCAGAAAATAAAAAAAAGCATAATAGTTCAGGGTTGAAAAATGCATGAAAGGAAAAAATGAATTTTTTAATGAATGTCCTGGATATTTCAAATTTTATAAAAGTAGTTATGCCAGATAGATCATGGCGGATCTGTTTTGAGGTGGATGTGAGAGGGGACAAATAAATTTTTGCTGGAATACCTTCAGTATAACTCACATAATAAAAGTGTAGATCCCTAGATCTGGGCGAGATTCGGAACATTTTCAAAATTGCAAAATGTTTAAAAAATTTTAAAAAATACCTATTTTATCTGAGTTTTTATTTATATCTTGGAACCTATGCATTTTGGAGGAATTTTAGAGGAAAAAAGTTTTAGAATTGAATTTTGCACAATATACTGAAAGTTAAAATTGTTTAAATTTATTACCGATGTTGCCATTGATGAAAATAAGGCAAAATAATCAAGTTTTTGGATAATTTTTTAAAAATGTTGACCTGACGATGTAGATTTGAAACGCTAATCCGTTAGTCGTTAGTTATAAATAAATATGAGTTGACCCACTAACTAGTTTCAATAAAATCCTTTTGTTAACGCTATTAATATTTATGAGGACTACTACTAAGTCATTAATCAATTATAATTATTTATAATTTTCATAATTCCTGTGCTGAAAAAAGCGAGTGATCTGTTAAATCGCTTATCCATCCGCCTAAATGGAAAATGTTCGATGAATTAATCAGAGTTAAATGTCGGCAATATGGGATGCAACCCATCCAATATCCCGCCTCTTTTAAGACTACTCCTCGGTTGATAAATTGACTTCACGAGAGCCCTCAAACAGCCAGCTAGCTACTCCTTACCTGTTGCACCGCTCGTGAAATAGGCCTTCATTCATTTTTACACATTTGCTGAAGTCTGGACGACCCATTTGTATAAGCGGCGGGCTTTATTACCTGTGTTGCGGAAGTCGTTAGGGGTTTCATTACTGCCCCGGAACATTAAAAAAATGAGCACCGGGAGAATCTCTCGTAATATCAGGAAGCAAAGCCTTTGTTTCCTAAAATTTGATGTTGTTATGGTGATAATTACGACTAAATCCTACATTGTCCTTTTCTTGGCGGTGGTAATTAATTTTGTGGAGAAAGTTCTTTAAAAGGATTCAGGATATTTTCGGTTGTTACAGAGTTGAGCGACTACCAATGAAAAATTCTTGAAATACATACAAAAGTTACAATAAATATCTCCCTGAAAATATTCTACGTGGATCGATCAAATTTGGGGAAGTGTTATATAAATACATCAACTAATAGCGGAGATACCAGGGACAGTGGTGTCTCGTAAAAAGTGTTACATAATTTTTTGTAAGTACCTACTCGCAGCGATAAAATACATGTATCTCAGCAGTTCAAAAACAGTTTTAAACACATTTTTAATTAGCTTTTTTTCTCTATGACCTTAAGTTTTTGATACAAGTTTGTGGCAACACTTAATCAGTTTTTGCTCTTTTTTCAGCCCTTCAAATTTTTGACATATGCTCATTAACACCCTGTATAATTATAATAACGTATATAAATAATTAGTGATTTTAATCCCAATTAAAGATAATCATTATTAAAGATTATCACTCCTCTTTTGAGCAAAATCACTCTAACGGATGATAAAATATGGACTACTCTGCTATTTCTGTGTAAAACTTAACAGTTCATTTGTTAACTGTGCAAAAAATATATCATCAAAGAAGTAAAACAAAAAAAAATACTGACATGTTGATATAACAGCAGTTATACGACATTTCCCAAGTGAATTTATTAAAAATCACTGAACATTACTCGTCGTCAAACATATGAAAGAAGCTGCTCGGGGTTATTAATACAGCCTGAGCTTATATTTCCTTTTCAAAGATACCTTTTTTACTTTTACTGGCAAACGCAGGGTCGTATTTCAAAATATCAAAGCGGTAAACATTTTATACTCAATGAAAATATGCTTTTATAAAAAACATTGTTTCTGTTTCATCCCGACAGTATCTGATTTCTGAACATGATTGGAACATTTGTAAACAAGTGAGTTTGTTTGCTATCCGCTAGAAAAAACTCTTCCTATCTGATCCATTACTATTATTTTGCTTGGATATATTACCAAATACTAGCAACAGGCGTTTTTCTACTAAGAGCTCTTATACAATTATTTTATATAGATTTTATGGCAAAGTGACATACGTATTTGTCAGAAATATTCATCATCAAACTAAAAACGAGCAATTATTTTGTATCTATATTTATGGAACGTCCCAATTTATTGTGTATCTGGGGACTCCGTCCTTTTTTAATATTCCAATCAGAGAAAATAATCTTCAGCTACATCCTAATTTACATTTTTTTAATTTCAATTTCAATGTCGCAAACGAAACATGGTCACATCGAAAGCTAAAATATTATTAGTAAGAAGTATCTATCCTTTCGGATTATATTAGAATAACGTTCCCTATAAGATATTAGTTTAATTACTTTAGACAAGTGTAATAAATCTGATTATGCTCGAAGGTGAAAATCTGACACAGGGCCAACCCAACTCAAAGCGAAGAGTGTGTTTACAAAATAAATTTCTCCTGATTGCTGCCGGGAAGTTACTTTAACCTAAGCAAATATTTGAGCTATGCCTACCATGAAATAATGGTACTTGCTCTTTCATATTATTTCTTACTTACTGAGCACAAATTGTCTTTCAATAGTACCCGTGACTACACATTTTTCTACCAGGTTTTATATGTATAAGACAGAAATTGTCAAATATTAAAAGTTTTACGTAATGTATACGGAACGGGTAATATACATATTTTATATAGCTGTACAATTTACTCTGTATAAAACGAATTAATTTAAATTCTCAATGAAAAACTTTCTGAGAATAGTATATTTAGGCACAACATCATTTTGCAAAAAGGATATCAACTATAAGCAGTGTTGTCGGTATTATACAGAACTTTTAAATTTTAATATGAAATAAGGTGATATGTCCAAGTAATTTTGAAACATATGTGCACATTTAAAATTAACCTAGTCTAGTACTCCACACATAATTAATAAAAATATAATTATATTATTTCACGAATATTTTAAATTAAAACATTTCCCATATGCATTTTAAGAATCTTCAGAAACTATTTACACTTTCAGTTAACTCTGTTACTTTCAGAGTTAATTAAATTAATATCCTTTCATAAACGTTGGTATATGACATTGAATAATCCAGCATGCATGCAGCAGGCGACTTTCATGTTTTTATTATGATATAATCTCTTTTGCAGGATCATTAGGTGAAAATTTCCGTATCCACTAATTTATATTCAGGGTGATTCAGAAAACGTACCATTCTAGGGGAGTAGAATATTAAAAAGAAGATTATCTTATAAATAGTATGATTAGTTTTTGAATAAGCTATATAGAATGTTTGTTGTTTTACAAACCAAGAATATTTTAGATTTTACAAAATTAAAAGCAGAGTAAAGGTTATGTAAAATAATCTAAGTACCTATATTTTCTCACATTATCCAGATACATCTCCATAAAATTTTACATTTTATGTTGTTTAGTAAATATATTGGCATGTTAAAAGCATACAGTTACTAAAAATAAAATCAGGGAAAAATAATCTAAATATTTTTTCTCTCATCATCCAAAATTACATTTCCATGCTTAATATTGTTTAGTAGACGCATATTAACTTGCTGAAAATATACAGTTACTAAAAAGATACTTGATGGACGAATATGAACGTATCTCGCCCACTTCCAAATGTATTTAATGTTCAACATTGTGTACATTATGTACATCCGGTCTTCGCAAAATAATAAAGTACAATTTAAAGCTTAACACAAAAAACACTCACGACTTAGGCTTTATCTACCTCAAAATAACGCAGTACCAAATTTCTTTGGATTGAAGTCTTTTTTATTTTTGTTAAATATCAACTTATTTATATACTAGACGTGTTAAACAAATTTCCACAAAGCCAATATAAATAGCATTTACTTTTAAAGAGCAATGGAGGAATAGTTAAAACAGCACTCAGATTTTATTTGACACCAAATAGTTTTAATGTATTGTAGTAATCTAAGGTTCTCTATTTTATGGAATAAGTAATTATATTGTTTATATAATTTTTTTTTGAATCTTCGCTGAGGTCATATTTGTAAAGTTACTTTATTTTATTATTTGAACAATTATTATTATTTCATAAATTGTAGTTTTATATTTTGACATTTTCAGAGATAAATACGCATACATTTTGTCAGTTTCATAAACTTATTAATGTTTAATACATTTTTATATGATAAAGCCCTCAGAATTATATCTTAATCATAAGAGAATTTGTAACTCTTATCTTGATAGTGAAAAACTGGGAGTGAAAATTATTAAGTCTACTCCAAATCTTTTACATCTACAGAAAATTTGAATCTACAAGAAAAATTTAAATTTATATTTTTTATCGATATACGTATTTCATTTACTTTAAGCAATAATACAGACGTTGTGTTTCAGTAAAAATATGTTATCTGTGTTTAATCACTTCTTAAAACAATTAATCACAATTAT